CCCCCCCCCCCCCCCCCGCTGAGTTCTACTCCCCACCTAATTAGGGCAACACAGGGAAATGGTACTCGACACACTTGTGTGTCGGTGCCTTTCCCTTTGTTGTTCCTTTTCTAGTCTTCTCTACCCGGGCGGTTTAAGACTAAAGTCCCGCTCCCTGACTATTGCATTTAATTCGCCTCGGCTAAGTATAGTCAGTAACTCTAGAGTGCTAAGTAGTCATACACACGCACGGACACACACATGCTACATACACCCCCTCCCTGCCCCCCCCTCTCTTTCTTACGCTTTCGGTCGTTTCTTGGGCTTTCTCTCAGGCTTGTTAGGTTGTTCTTGAAGCTCGTTTCCCTGCCCCAGTCAAGGGCTAAGTATTCACTTTTTTCTACGCCTATCTTTCTCTCCGGCCCTCTTAGCGCTGCTCTTTCTGCGTTTCTTTTGTTCCTAAGGCTTTTTAGGTGCCTATTGAGGTCGTTCGCACGAGCGCCGCAAAGCGGCACCGTGCGCGCGTCAACCCCTGTTCCAAAGGGTGCTATTTGATAAACAGGGGGACGGGACACCTCTGGCATTTCCCGTCCAACGAAGAGGATGCCAGCAGGTGCTGATGCAGTGGGGCACGCCCCACTGTGCACCTGCTCCATGAACTGTTGCTTACGCTGTCCAATCTTTTCTTTTTGGTTCCATGGTGGTTCATGCTACTTCCCCTAAACCCTTTCCTTTGCCGCTCGCGCGCGCTGCCGTCGCACCACTGCAGATGATAAACTTCAATGTTAAAACACCTTCAAGTCTTTGGACCTTTCACCATGCCGTTCCATCGCCTTCCTTCTCATCGTGGGAATGTGTCAAGCCCTGTCCCTAAGGGCTTTCCATGCTTTCAAAGCAGGGGCGTTACGGCTCGTCATACCCACCGTACGCAATGAAGCTACGGTATGACGAGGGCGGGGTGGACTGATCATCCACCTGTACCTGCTTCAACGGTTGAGTACGCTGTTCCAATCCTTCTGTTTTGATTCCATGGTGGTTCATGATACGTCCCCCAAACCCTTTTTTTTCCCACCGCTTGTGTGTCAGATTGCAAACATTGTTCAACCATACAGTTCTCGCCGACCTTTTCGCCTTGCCGTTCCCTCACCATTTTCGACCTGGGAATTGAGCTAACTGAAAACCAATGTCAAAGTGTGAACCGCTCAGCCGTCCCACTTGAGCGCTGGGTGTGATCCCCGTGACAGGGGCGCTGAATTCACTCCGGAAATCGTGTAGCGGATTTACTTCGTCCACTGCACCTTGTCTTCCACCTTTTCATAACTGAATCAACTGATTCAAGAGCCGTCGGGCTTGCACGACATGATACCCCAGCCGCCGGGCTAAAAAACG